TCTTATCCCACATCTTAGACCTGACCTCCCTGCACCATAAGCACCTTCCTTAAGGCAGCTCCCTCTACTCTGGATTCACAGTCCATAAGCCATTCCAGAGGGACGGTCTCAACACACCCCATCTGAAAAATAGCTGGAGGAAGAGGCGAGTTTAGTGATCCCTTTTATACCACAGTATACCGATGAGCCAGAACATGGCAGGCCAAGGTTCGATCTCTTCTGCTACCTGAGAAGATCCAAACCCATATCCTAGATGAGTGCATGAACCATTAGGCAGATGCTGGGATGGAGTGACTCTCCCTTCTGCTGACAAGCTGCATTGGGCATAAGTGAATTAGAGATTCAGTGGGCTGGAAAAAGGGAGAAAGAGTATGATTGATTGGACTGGATTGAACTGGAAAGAGGAGTCATGAATTCCAGTCCCTGCACCCCAAAGTACTTCCATATTTCAGTCAATGATTACACCAGCATATCTGTGGCAGCATCAAGCTCATCAGAGACTAACTATCCACTTAAGTTTCTCCCACATTGATCTCCATGGTGCCATAGCTACACTGCATTGTGAAATGTAGTAGAAGCACTGTTAGGCGATTAAAAACTAGCTTGGGTATTTCTACGTAGCATACAGATGCCCTAAAGCATAGGGCATTCCTGTCTCAAAGGAAATTAGTAAAGTTTTGAGCAACTTAAAAAAAAGTGTATAAAAGTTACATTTCATTGTTTAGTTCAGTAGGAGCTATAAAATGCCAGTGTTGCAAGAGTATCTGAGAAAGGATTGGCACATAGTAATTTTAAACCAAAAGGAGTGTGTTAAAGATCTAGCAGTCTTAGGCTTCATCCTATTCCTTGTTAGACTCCAAGGCTTCAAATGAGTTAAATCTGGATTTATAACAGTCACAGTGTAATTAAGAGCAGCATATATGCTTCTGAACTCTAGCCATGGCTTGGTGTCTTACCCATAAGGTGCACTAATAACATATTCTGTTTCTTAAAAGCACATACAAATTTAGCAGATGCAGCTCAGTGCTTTGTAGAAAGGCTACAACTCATATAATCCTATTAAAACTCAACCTTCAGGTACATTCTGTCAAAAACCATCATTTTAAGTACAATTTATAAAGTATGTGAATGTGTTGCAGCTTCATTTTCTCCAAGAACCTGATTAGCTGGTATTCCCGGCCAGTTTGTGCATGCCATTATATAATAGTTCAAATAACACTAGAGCTCTTTCCAAGGACACTCAGTTTTCCAGTCTTATAAAGAAATTCTTATCATCTACATATCATGGGAAGTGTCTTCCTATTAGGCCCCCTTAGTAACTTAGGAAACACTGGGCTTTTTGTTAAAATAGGTTGATAAAAACATTAATTGCTGCACTTCAACTTGAGGATCCCAACCTGTAGCCCATATCACTGGTAGGAACAACTTGTCAGTATATCTGTCAAATATACTTCACAGTTAGACAAACAGAAAGCTAACCATGGCTTGCTTAATCAAAAAATAAATGGTTTTCCCTTTGTGTTGATAAGAGCTATTAAAATAGGCTACAGGAAAGGAATGAAAAATGCCAAGGGCAATGATTACTGTTGTAATTTATGTTTGGAACTAAGGTATTGCGCAAAGAAAGGGAAGAGGAAAGGGATCTCGGAGTCATAGTGGACTCCAAGATGAACATGAGTCATCAGTGTGATGAAATCATCAGCAAAGCTAACTGCACTTTATAATGCATTAGCAGATGCATGACAAATAGATCCAAGGAGGTGATACTTCCCCTCTATGCAGACTGGTTTAAAAATGGCAGAGCCCGATCTAAGATTTCTCCACCAGTACCAAAGGGGAGATGTGTATTCTGCTACCAATCTGCTAGCATAATACACCAATCTGCTAGCATAATTGGTGGCTCACTACCAATCTAAACTACACCACTTATAAAATACCAAGCATCTTAGAGCGATTCCACCTCTGGTTTTTTGAATGTCTGTAGCTAGCCTTAATATCACTTGCAGATGAACATAGAAAGCCAAATCCTGCATCCTTTCTTATTTCAATACAGGGGGCGAAACTTCCATTGAAAACAAAACGTGGCTAATTTCACACGAGGGGTTGGAGAATTTGGTCCCAAGTGCTTTGCCTGAACAAGTATGAGCAAAGAATGCAAGGATTCCCCCGACCCCCACCACCCCCACCCGCATCCCATGGTTATAAATGTATTACATGTCTAAAAAGTAATGGTGGTTGTTAAAGGGAAAAAATGAGCAAAACTGTTAGTTTTCAGAAGGTTCAAAAATAAACTCCTTTGAAATCTGGCAGATTTAAATATACGTATGTATAAGTCATAGTTTTGAAAGCTACACTGATACCAGGAAAAAGAGCATTAATAAGAAATAGATTTGATATTTTAAGAGTGAAAATGTTTTGCCAAGATTTAGTTTGCTCTTTCATTGAAATGTTATTCATTTTCTTTACCTCTATTTAAAATCATTCTGCCGGAGCATTCTCATGCTTCAGACCTACTTAAAATGCTCAGCAAATCTATTTCCCACCAATGTTTCTGCCAATCCCTGCTGGATACTATTTCCAAAAGTCCTCTATCCACTCCTCCTCCTCAAGTAGTACACTACAAGTTTTGTTTCCTCCTGGTTTATAAGCTTTCATAAGCCTTGAGTTTAAAATAAAGCCAAAGAAACTCAGTTCTATAGATCAATGTGTTTTTCTGACAACCTAAATCCTATCTCTGGGATGTTCTCATTGTTTTTCTTTCCCCCCCTTGGATTCTGAAGCTCTGGAAAAGAGCTTAAACCAATAGTCCATCTACCTCAGTTTATCAACCCTGTAACCTACTCCTGCCCATCATTATCTCTAGGTCTTAGCTATTTCCTCCTGTCTTCAGAAGCACCAGAAACTGCAGGATGACTTGCAATTAGCACTTGCAATCAGATATCTGATGGCAGAGTAGGATTTTTTTTTTTTTTTTTTGCAGATAAAACTAGCTTCCTAATTACAAATAGAAGTTAAACTGTGTATATATTCCACTTTCCTGCTGCCCTCCATAACCACTTATGAGGAGAAAAGCTCTATCCATTTTCTCCTTCTCCTACACTGAATGCCCACACTCAGGTCTTGGGCATCATGGCAGCCACACTGCCATGCTCAGGCTCTTCCAACACGAAGAGCCTGACTGTGGCACCTGAACGTGTGCTTAGGGTTGGGTGTGCATAGTGAGTGTGCACGACGTTTCCTTGGGGTGATGCCAGACTCGGCAGAAAGCCAGTACAGAAACAGCCTTCACATTCATTTTTAGCATTTATCACACATTGTGCAAAAGACTTACTATAGCTTTCAAGTTACTGTATGCTTTAAGGGAGAGCAATGGTAAAACCAAATTCTTAATAAATACGTTATGATCTTATAAATAATCTTGGTATCAGACTTCTTCAATTTGAGTCGCTCCCTACACTTTGGGCATAATTAGTTACAAAAAACAGAAAAGAGATGGCTCCACTGCTAAATGAATCAAGAGGTCACTAACTACATAGAGATGTTATATGTTACCAGAATTGCAAATAAGATTTACAGGGAATAACAGATGGATACTTGCAGGAGAGCTGAATGTTGGCTTAAACTGCAGCTCTCCCTAACTTCCGAGTGCTTGACATTGCAAACTTACTTGTGCTCTTTTAATAAATCTTTTTGGTGTGCAATTATATTCAAACTGGCCCTAGCTATCTCTGCTTTCATCTCCTTTTGTTTCTCCTAATTGGGTTAGTTATGGCTGTATGTCAAAATCAGCTGAAACAGTGTATGTATATTCCAATAATGTGTACATGCACATTATTCCACATACTGACTTGGAACTGAAGGCTGAGATTTCAAAACTGCTTGTGCAACTTGGATGCTTAATTTGCATTCATTTCAAATGTGTTTAGCCTCTGTTTAGCTTTCCAAGTCTCACGCTAAACTCTTCAGCTCTGTTACACAAAGGCACCTTCGTACTGTCACTTGCTACTTCCAATGAAGTTATCAGAGAAAAAAATGTTGTCTTATTATTGCCCTATTAAAAATCAGTGGAGTTACTCTCATAAGCAAGTTAAGCAAGCCTTGGCCAAGGAGTTGCTTGTTCAGTCCAAATTAAGTGACACTGTTGAAATTTATATTGAAATTGATACAAATTTTTTTTTTATGAAGGGTATAAAGAAAAACAGTATAAAATTTAAAACTCCAGGGAATTCTCTTAAGTGTTGAGAGATATTGATTTAAGATGACAATAGAGATAGTAGATCACAGACATACCCAACAACTGAGCCAAATACTCTTTCTGATCTATTTTACTAGAGGAGCCTGGAAGGCATGTGAAAAGAATTTCAAGTATATGTATCATTAAAAGTATTATGCTAGCAGATGGCTCCTGTTCAAAAGTTGGCTGTGACTCTCAAAACTGCAAACATACAAGAAGTCAGGCCATTACATCCTTGTTATAGCCCAAGTTTAAATTAGCATTTATTGCACGCATTTGCTCTAATGTCCATATTAAAGGTAAAAAAAAAAAAAAAAAAATGTTGCTTTATCCACTGTACTCGTGGCCTATTTGTGTCAAAGTCTACAACTTCTTGAGCTGAGTTATGAAAGTCATGTCAAAGTTATTCCCTGCATAATTATCACTCTTTAGAAAGTACTTATTAGAATTGTCTTAGAAAGATGCAATACAGATAAAATGGCTGTAATTCATGGACCAGACAAAATATTCAAAACAATTAGAAATGAAAGCAACACTTCCTTGCTCTCTTATTTTTGTATAAACGGAAAACTATGGAGCTCTGCTCCACACAAGAGTGGACAGCAGTGGTAACATTGAATTAAATCCATCAAAAAAAGGAATGTGTTGTGAAAAATTGGATGGTTCCTGGTGAGATCCCAGTGGGCATGTGTGTATTTATAAAAACATGACATATTATGCTGACACACCTGATGGCATATTTCTCAAAACTAAATTATTCTCTCACCTCAGAATGCTTCTTTTCCAGCCACAATGTAAGTCATAAGCACAACCAGATGGAGAAGATCACATTCCTGAAGTTTGGGTTGTTTCTTTTCTAAAAACAACAGCAATATTTCATTTTTATATACCATTTTCTGCTCTGACTCTTCAATAAAGACAGTGTCCAGTTTCTTGGGACTGGAACCCCAGAGGCTGATCCTCATGTTCAAAGACATGAATAAAACTGGTCCTGGTCCTAGAGGAAACATCTTTCTCCCCTCAACCTCCTCCCCAAGGATACATCTATCTGGCTGAAACAATGAAACTGAGAAGTAGGGATAGGCTTTATATAACAGCATGAAGTCACCCTTTTCTTCCATCCTTTTTCTTGCCCTTCATTTCATCCTGGCTAGAAGTAAAAGAAGTCACCAGATTCTGTAGGGTTTTCATTGAATGATATTCATTGAAGGAAACAGGCATTTCTGAATGGCTTTAGTCTAGATAAGAAGCCTGATCCTACTGTTTGAAGTCGAAGGGAATCTTGCTGTTGACTTCAATGGGAACCGAATTGGGCCACAAAGCTATCAGAAGTATAGCAAAAATAACATAATTACATGTATTCAACTGAGCACAATTTCACAAGTATCCAATTACTGCTTAAAACAATGTTCAACATGCATGGCAATGTGCCATTGAATGCATCTGCCATTAGAAGCATAACAGTGGTTCGGTTTCTTATTTCCTTTCTATATTATTGTTTTCAGCTATGCCAGAGGAAAACTGGCATAACAATTATTTGGAGTGCAATGCTATATTACCTTGTCAGTTTTAAACATCAATCCACAAGACAACCAGCCATCAACATTTACTAACGATCTCACAGGGAAAACAAAAAAAATCAATGTAAAAAGCAAAGTTTAGGGGGGAAAAAAACACCAAAACTAAAGAACACGAACATCAGAATTAATCGCTGGCCTATACATGGGCAAAATATAAAGTACTCTGAGACCTATCGAACTCCTTTCCTTTCCAAATATTGTCCTTCCCTGATTTCATTCTCCCGAAATAGCACTTCTGCCACTGAAATATAAAATTATGCTTAAATACACCCCAGGATAAAAAAAAGTTAATCAGCAGCATAAGAAACGATTAGCATATGATGAGATATATTCAGAATATTCTGTAACCACATAGTGCTTTGCAATGGGTAATATTAAAAACTCACTATTAGTCACTTGCTAGTGATTGCAATATTGCAATTCTAAGTACAGGCAAATTCTTCAATACAGGAACAAGTCCAAACACTTGCACTAATGTAGGTCACTTGCTAATGCTGCCTATTACACATGTATCCTGGGACCCAGGATATCAAAACTATACACTAAAAGCAAACTTGTACATTTTCATTTAAAAATACATATTTCAATGTGATATATTTCATTCTTTTGCAAAAATGCTCTGAAGTCTACAGATAAAAGTGTTATGTATGAGTTAGGTATTATTATTATTATAAATAAATCACAAAACTTTTAGTTCAGAATTTCCTTCAATTTTTTTCCCATTTCTCACGTGTATTTTGACAGAAGCTGGGAGTTTAAAATGTTTGTGACACTTTTAAATAAATCAAAAGAAAATATGTTTTCAGTTATACAGCAGGGAAGCAGGTGTTTATCTTTTGGTCTCTTCTGCTTAGGTCATTGGTACCTCAGCTGGAAACGGATTCAAATAGCAGTGTTTTTCAGACTGAAAAAACTAATACAGAAAGGTGAATTGTATCACCTGGGGAGACTATTCTGGTTTCTACCCTTTCGATTTTGGGAAGCATACCCAGAAATAAAATGTTGTGAAATGGACCAAAGAAAATTGAAGATGGTAAGAAGAAAATAAAAGAAGTCTTATAGACTTCTTTCACCTATAGGACTATGGAACAATCTCGAAAGAAGAAGTTGCAGATGCAGCAATACTTACTTCATTTAAAACAAGACTGGACAAAACACTCATGAATTATGGAGATGCTATTAGGGATGCCACACAGTTAAGGGCTGCCCTGAGAGCTGCTGCTTTTATGGGAAGTTAAATCTTCTTTCTGAAGAAAAATCATGTGCTTTTACACCAAACCTATATCACTTTATCTTAGGGCTTGTCTTAAACTAAACAGCCTAAAACACAAAAGTCTTGTGTGACCAGCATTGTGCCTTTGGACACAACGGCTGACGGGGTCAACTGAGGTTATGGAAGGAAAGATTATGTGTAATCAGGTGTCCTGAATGAACCTGGAACCGCAGGAGGACCTATTCAAAGGGACTAATCTAAACTGGCCAACATAGTGACGCCTGAATCACCTGCATACACAAACTGGAAGATCAAAAACAAACATGATCAAATGGGGCTAACTAATGACATGAATACATGCGAGTGTGAAGTGCAGACTACGGAGCACCTGCTTGTTTGCCGACTCCTTGATGAGACCGGTACGAAGAAAGACCTCGCTGTAGCAACAGAAAGAGCCATTGCTTGTGATTGATTCTGGAAAAAACATCTCATTTGTGCCAAGGACACATGAAGATGAAATAGTAGTAGTAGCATTGGTCTTCATAGGGTAGTTATTGCACAGTAAGCTAGAGTATTTACAATGTACTAGCTTGTTTGCACCAATTCAAATGTGCATCTCAAGTCAAAGTTACATCACGTATACTACAAAGTATGTCTGCACCGGGATCTAGCACAGACCGTCTACCGCACTGCAAATTACCGCGTAAGTTTACTGTTCTCATTTACTGTCGCCTTCCCATTAAAAGACAAAAGCAAGAGAAAAATGCAGAATTTCCCTTCTGCTGGAAATCACAAAATTGCCAACGTTAATTTTGTTCTGGATCAAATTGGAACAATGCTGAAATCTCCTACAGAAAGAATTGTTTTTTTTAAACCAAGTTTTTGGTCAATCCGAAACAATTTGTTTCAATAAAATGATGCTTTCTAACAAGTAGAAAATTCTTAACCAGCTCTATTAGTGAAAGATTTTGGGGGGAGCCTTAAGATTCAGTCCATTCAGCCTTTGGCAGATGGGAAAT